AGTTGTTAACATTCACGGATAATAAAAAATAACATAATAATAATAATAATAATTTTATAATATAACATTTACGGATATCATAAAAATGGGAGTGAGTGACACCTATAACTGAAATCGGCAATTACATAGTTGCCAACCCAATAATACGCAAACCGTAAGGGTAGAAAAGAAGTCTGCGACGAAAGCTGTCTTTTTTTAATAAGAACTATCGCTACACGAAGCATTTATCGATTGTTTATTTTACTAGAAAAAGCCGAAAAATAAATAAATTGTATTCTCTTCGCATCCCGAAAGTTTTATAACTTTTTAAATTTGTTTGTGAATCGACCGTCTTCCTTTCTAAATGAGATTTTATGAACGAAAAGAAAGATCGGCGAGTGAAATAATTTGATGCTGTTTAACTATGATGCCTCCCAAAAATCAATCGATCGGTTAGCAGCCAGAGGGAAACAATTCGTTCCGTTGCCGGTCAGGAAATAGTTTTCGTACACAGAAATACTGAAATACACAAGCGCCGCGCCTCATCGATTCGATTCATTTCGATCTCAATTACCGAATTCCACGAATTCAACGTCATTCCGACTACGAGCGCACAAAGGAAAATTACATGGAAAGTTGCCGCGCGCAGTTTCGATCAGAATTGCAGATGAAGCTAGGTTGGGAACGGGTCTATGTGTACGTATAAATTCACTTTTCCCGGATGCTATCTACCATTGCTAGGCTCAAAGTAAATTAGATCACTTTCGAAGATTCATTTTCCGCCCCTCGCGACTTTGCTGCTTCCGCGTGAATTCGGTTCCTGCAATTACCTTGCGCATACTTGCCCCCGGAACGGCCATTAACGCTGCGACTGCCGCGTATTATACGGGTCACGTAATTTCTTGTTCAAAGCTAAACAGTAATTTTTGGCATCAAACGTATTACAGAATACGTCGAGCGGACGGAATTTTCTCTAGAACCGCGAGATAAGAGAACGTTGTACGAACGATCGCCGAAGTTTATTGCGCTAATGTCACGCGTTATTTTTAAACGATCGATTTTACATTATACGATCAGGATGCCGGAAGAGTTTGTTTCGTTGGCTGAGAGAATGCGACGCGGATAAAATAAATATACGACTAATTTTTCCGAATACGTACATTCGTGGCATTTCGTAAATTCGTACACGCCAGGAATGCGTGAAAATCTGCAGCTCGGTAATCGCTAAAATAAATCGAAACGTTTCAGCTTTCGTTTCATTAAACAAAATATTTCGCTTTTACGCGATTTCGTATTGTTGTTCCAATAGTTCGCGCGCAAAAATGCATGCGATAGCAAACTCTCGAAAATAAAAACTCAAAATTCAAAACCTTTTTCACACGGTATATCCTGATAAATGTAATCAAATACATATATATTAGCAATTTCTCCCTGCAAAGTTCGCAAACTTCTATCACGAAATTTGAACACGATTTTGATTCCATTTACGAAGCGAAACACGCTAATTCCAAAACAAAATAGACCGCTGTTTCTGCTCGGTGGATCAACTACTCTGAAAACAGACACAAATCGAGAGATCGGTCGAGTTTATAACTTATTTAAACAACGCGTATTTAAATTTGTAACTTTGAACAAATTTGTACACTTTTCCTAACAGTCGTATGTGCTTTTGTATTCGTATTATTTTTCATTCCTATCAAATAAATATTACAAAGTTCATTACCAAAGTAAGTTATATCTAGAAACGTCGATTTATATCGGACAGTGGTATAAAGATTCAACGATCAAACTTTTGAGTTGCGATAAAATCGACGATGATCTTCTGCTGCCCGAAAAGCGTTCTACAATAGGTAGTTTTTTACCTTACCTCGTTGCAAGTCGTTCAGTGGACCGAATCGGGAGTCCACGGTACACATCGATCCGGTTCGCGTCTAACCCAATTGGCCCCTCGAAATACTTTCACCGAATCGATACGGCCGCGAATCGTGGTAAGAGACGAGCGCTGGCATAGGTGACGTGTCAGAAGTGACAC